TTATGCTCATGAACTTGCTCAATGCCGGTATTGTCAACTCTATTCTACAGCCAAGGATTGGTTAGTTCTTTGTCTGTTTGTCTGTCTCTCTCTCTAAAAAAAATACATATTAACATGATGCATACCGACACAAGAAGGAAGCTTTGCATAGGGATTGCCCACCGACTGATGGTTCCAGGCGTAGCTGGTACTCTTCCCACACTGGTAATCCTTGTAGGGCTCCCTGTCGAAAGCATAGCCGGGTTTGCAAGCGATTTGGCAGCGGCTCTCGTTGGACTCAGTCCGGTTGCAATGCAACACGCCCTTCAGCGGAGGTCTCAGGTTGATGCAAGCTGTCAAGAAATATTAGCAACAGTAACGGAAACAAATAAATTTCCATTTGAACCTCGTTTGCTGGGATGGAGGTACGTGAAGCAAAATGCAACCGAAACTAACAAAACGCAACAGAATCAAGATGGCACAAGGCAAAAAAAACGAAAAGAAACAAATTCACAACAAAATGGCACGAAACCGGCAAATATGTTTGTCTGTTCACGCGGAAGACAACATAATTTCTAAAACTTTGACCCGATGGGTTCGAAGGTCATGCCTACTTGGGCAACTGCCATTGTTGCAGGGCAGCAACTGCTGGTCTTCTCCAGGGCAGGCCCGTCCTCCGTTGAGTGGTTGCGGACTGTCGCAGGTGCGGATTCGGTACTGGCGTCCCCCTCCGCAGGTCTTGCTGCAATCGGAAAACGGCGACCACGGTCCCCAACCGCCGTTCACTGAAATCAAGAATTGAAATTTTGAAAAGTTCCCACGACACACTTTTTTTAATGAGCTACACCGAAGTGCCAGATTGGCCTTCATTATACAAGTTTCTGAAGTCATTTCAAAGGATGTTGAAGAGTCTTTTAGAGTTTGGAGGAAAAGTCCATTTTTGTTCATATCCATAAGACAAGCTCAACAGTGGTGTCCAATAAGGAAGAACTTGTATTCATATCTGTCTGAGTGCAACAAGTTTGGAAATTATTTGAATATGTACTGAGATCAATTTTTCATTTATTTCATTTTGTGTGTTTAATCAATTTAATAGGCTGTTTCTACAGCTCGGTGTTTTTGGAGGGTGATCACTGGAACCCCCCAAAATTGTCGCTAGGTCTGTGGAAGATTACAAGATTTGAGCAGCCCTACCGACTTCCAACTCGCAGCGTTTGCCACTGAAGCCTCTCGGGCAAGAGCACGAGTAACTGATGTTCTCGCTCCGGCATTCGCCCCGGTTGAGGCAGGAGTCGGGACGGCAGTAGTCTACCTTGGTCTGGCACTGGTCTCCCTCCCATCCTGGGTAGCAGTGGCACGCAAATCCCTTCACTCGGTCCTCGCACAAACCAGCGAGGCACGGGTTGGACGAACACTCATCAAAGTCTAAAAACAATGAACAGTTAAGCCACTGGTGTTAGTTTGGAAGGCCCAGAATAAACTTTTCTTTTACCCTGGGTTCGGAGACAAAAATGCCGCAAACTGTAAACTGCCTGTTCTTACCATCACACTCAGAGGGCGTCTTCAGTGTGTGCGTAATGCCATCACTTGCTATGATTAGAATCTGGCCCCAGGCGAACACGTCGGCCAGTGATGAGGTGGGTCGACATGACGATGCTATGTCTGCTATCTCAGCCTCACTCAGTGCACGACTCCAGATGTTGACGCCGCTCAGCTCCAACTCGAAGGGTTCAACGCCATCATCAACAGCTGGTGAACACAAATTATCATTTTGTCCAGTTTATTAATAAGTATTGCTTCTTGTTGCCAAAAGGCCGAGTGAGGTGCAAGAATGCAATCGTAAAATTCCTCAAACTTTAAAAAAACAATTCACTATAAACACTCAAAATGAAGGCTTTGAATAAATAAGTGTCAAATACTTACCTGAGTTAACCAAAACAAACAAATAAACATGACAAAAGAGGTTTGATAGGTAAAGCACACTTCGCAAAAGATTTATTCTAAGGGTTTAGAGGTGTCTCGGCAAAGTCAGAAAAAGTACTTTTTACAAATTTTGAAGGGGTTGGAGAGTCAAACAGGGCCAAAGTTGAGTCCGTCACAAGGCCAGTCACAAGGCCAGTCACAAGGTCAGTCACAAGGCCAGTCACAAGGCCAGTCACAAGTCCAGTCACAAGGCCAGTCACAAGGCCAGTCACAAGGCCTGTCACAAGGCCAGTCACAAGGCCAGTCACAAGGCCAGTCACAAGGCCAGTCACAAGCTTATGAGGCACTCAAAGTTGCAGGGTGAGCAACAACTAATAAAATGCTTCAATCCTTATTTTTTCTTTTCAACAATTTTGACTTGGCGTTATTAGACTGGATGACTGCCCTTGCACCAAAGACCAGGAAGACCGAATGGGCTCCATATTGTTGTATCTCCCTGTTGGCGAGGCAGACGTATCCCCGCGCTGTGGTTTGGTTACAAGTGCGGAGACATTCATTCATTTATCCTTATATTTCTTGAATCAATTATGTTTTACGTTGACTTGTACTGTGCCGTTGATCATTTTTAAGGACACGCCGCATTATAAATTTTCAATTATCAATTCTCAATTATCTCTCACCATCTTCAGTTTGTGGACCGATGATGAGCGACAGCCCTGCCGGCAGCCCCAAAGAAGAAGTGGACAGACTGCCCTCAGACGCCAACGACTGATCCACGTACGTCGCCCACTCTTGCCTCGGGCCCAGGGCGCGCCATGTCAGCAGCACGCTGTGCCAGCGTCCGTCACAAAGCGTGGATGCCATCCCGCTGGCAGGGGTCTGATGGAAGCTGTTCAGCGAGAAGCTGTAATGGCGTAACAAGTCTCATCAAACACAAAATGATTGTGACAAGAAGTGTAAATACGATCTTTTCATCCTCAAAAAAGGCCATAATTACTAAGAGTGAAAAATCCCTGACAAAGGCCAAACTAGTCTCCAGTTTCTGGTCAGGAGATGGCTCCGAAAGTGGTGCAGCAACACCTTTTTTTTCATACACGTAACACTGGCCGCTACCAGCATTAAAATAGACTGTCCCCCCCAAACTATTCACCATTTAAAAGCATTTTCAGCTTGTACACGTACATAGGACGTAAGACCACCTCGTTTGTCTGGTTCCCAGATGTAAATGTATAATACAGAAATGCCGCCATCTGAAAAAGAGTGCCCGACTAAATGTATGGGGGCCTACAGGGACTCCTCTAACTCTGCCGTACTCAAGTCAATCAAGCACCGTCAATCAAGCAAGTTTGGCAGCTTTGGACATCATTTTAGAGCAAATAACAAACTTTTTTATTTTGCTGATGCACAGGTCTACAGCAACATGCATGCTGACCAGAAACCAGAGACTTTTTTGGGGGCCTAACGATTCCATCTTTAAGGGCATACACATGGATAAAGAGAAATGTATTGGAGGCTACACACCATGAAATCTAGGAGAACATTTTTTGAATTCCGAAATTTAAGCCCTACATATGGCATAATATATGCCTTGATAGTTCAGGGCATTATAACGCTGCAACAGAGTGTTTTAACATACTTTGTTCATTTGGGGTTTTTCAACACCTGATGGGGCATCGCCAAGTCGTAACAGACATTACAATGCCATAATTATGCCATTACAGTGCAGCGATGAAAAACATATTAGTTTTGGGTGGAGATCACTCACTGTGGACTTCAGGTCAAAAAAATCTGAAACTTCATCTCAGGAACAGGGACATTTTTGATTTGGCTGTCACGGCAACCGAAGTAAATGAGTTGAGCTCCTTGAAAAGAATCAGGCACATTTTAAATCGATTGATACAATTCCTCAACGTGTCCAACCGGGTGAACTCTAGTTTTGTCAGGATGCTTGACTGAGGGACAAGCCGAAAGAAAAAGCTTCACAAGTGCTACTTTTTTTTAGAGTCAACAATAAGATGGGTGCAAACAGTGCGTATAGAAGAAAGCGGTCATTCGGTTTACCCGAGGAAGGTCAAAGTGAGGTTGCTGGGCCGGCTCAGCCTGATGGACGGGCCTCCGGGGACTGACAGCAGCAGGAGGGTCAAGTCACCGTGGCAATTGGATGATCGGAGCCAGAGTAAGGCCGACAGTTCAGGCAGATGACCCGAGGTCAGGTTGACTGCCCGCACGAGGTCGGTACCGGACACTGGGCTGGAGAACTTGAGGTCAAAGTCTGTGGAGTACTCTGTGGGACCGGAGGAAATGAGTTCACTAACTCGTTAGACATGGAATGATGAATTTAAAGGAACTTGCCAAAGAATACAACATTTGCTCTTGAAAGAGCTTGTTGGAGGAAAAAAAAGATTCTTGTAAAAGGTGGACTTTCTAGCTTATGTTACTGCTTGCTAACCTCAATCTTGTGAATGGTTAAAAATTCCTTTAAAAAGATCTTACACACATTTTTAATTTGATCTTATCTGTACATACAAGACTAAAATCTATGATAAATAGGGACAATTTATGCGGAAAACATTGGAAAACAAAACATCATTTTTAATCACTTCAATTACGGATTACTTCCGCAAAAACTTTGGTTTCATTGATGTATGGACGCCAGTTTACCTCCTCCACAGTGGGTACCGGTGTAACCTGGTAGGCATTCGCACTGGTAACCATTCATCTGATCTATACATCGACCCTGGTTTCTGCACGGCTGGCTGGAACATTCGTCAATCTCAGAGTCACACAGTGAACCACTAAAACAAAATCCAGGAAATGTATCTAAGTAAGACAAGAGACTGCTTCCTGGGCTGTACATGACGCTGTAGCACTACGGGCAATGCACAAATAGTGTGTCCAAGAGGATGCAATGCGCTGGCCAATCACCATGCGCGAAATCTGTTGACCATTTCCAAACGCGCATTGGCTCGACAGATTTCGCACATTATGGTCGGGCAATGCGTTGCAAACTCTTGGAGGCGCACCATTGTGAAACGCCCGTATTGACCCATTGATTAATATTTTGTCGGTATGTATGTACGTATGGCAATTGACGAGTTTAAATGAAGAGTTTTCAACAGAATGCACACAAACTTGTAGCATCTAAAATAAAGAATACATCCGATTGTCAGTACACCACTGAACCAACTAACAAAGTTTTCCTTCTTTCCTAGCTCATGTTTACTTGCTAATGTTTTTATATAAGTTTTCCGTCCCGTTTGAAAAAAGCTTCCAACACCCTGAGCGAAGTTTAAACTGACACATACCTCAAACCTGCTGGGCATACGCATGTGAAGTTCCCCGCCCTGGGGATGCAACTGGCCCCGTTCCTGCAAGGGCCATTCAGGCACAAGTTGACTTCAATGTCACACTGCGCACCCGTGAAGCCTGAAAAGGGCCGTTAAAAGAACGATCGACCAGTTGAATTGAGAACAGAGTGGAGAGGCTAGATTTGTCTTCAGAAAGAAGAGAGAGCAGCAAAGTCTTAAGGCTGAGTTGGACTCAACAGCAAATGAGAATGCAAGACTTACACCACAAGGAATCATCGCTGAATGTGTTCACCATTTGGAAATTTACAGGACAAGTTTACTGTAATGTCGTGATAAATATGGCCCAGCCTTCAGTGTGCTCCACCGAAAATTAAATTCAAACCCCAAAGTTGCGAGTGGACTGATCAAGACCTTTCTGTCTGCCCCAAAATGTGGCTTTTTTATTCAACCAGTAAAATGTTTCGAAGGAAGCTTATTTCAGGATTTTGCGTTTGGAGATTTTGTTAGATAGACGTCGAGAGAAACTTGGCTTAAGTGATACGCAGAAAAAAGACCCACCCAGCGGGCAGTCACAGGAGAATGATGCAAACTCGTCCTGACAGCTTCCTCCATTCTGACAGGGGTTGGACTCGCATTCATCGGTCTCCGCTTCGCAATACCGCCCACCATAACCAGCGACGCACGAGCACTCGAAGTCCCCGACCTAAAGGGTATGATCGAAAGCCATCAAAGTACCACGCAACCACGCGGTTTCTCCGAGAGATGCCGTCATTACTGTGGGTACACATTTGGATTAGAGCAGCCACACTTGACAGAATGGCTCACTTTCGCATGATCCCACCTGGAGGAAGATCATGGAGTCTCGACCAGCATACATCCCCTTCGAAAAACCAAACGGGCTGATCGTGATGGAGTGCTGAATTTCCCGTTTGGCGCATCTATTTACCTTATCGACGCAACTTCCGCCGTGCTGACACTGCACGTTGGATTGTTGGCACTCGTTGATTTCCAGTTCGCAGTTGGCGCCGCTGTACCCTGGAAGACACTGGCACGTGTAGGCATTGAGTCCGTCAGAGCACTTGGCACCATTGAGGCAGGGATCGGGGTTGCAGTCATCGAGGTTGATCTCGCAGAACTGGCCTGTGCAACAAGAATGACAAGGCATTCGCATCATGTTTTGCTCAGAGCGACGGCTGCACAAGACGCTCAAGTACTTTATTTTGTTCTCTCTCTCACCTGCCAAGGACAGAGGCGGGTTTGGTCATTTCATTTGGGCAAGACTGTATATTCCAACAAGATCGGTTGCGCATTCATGCTCAGTGTGTCCCAAGCCAAAGCGCTTAATTGTCATATGTTATGTAATGACATACTATCTTTTGTTCCTGCACAGACGCAGTCGTTTGTTTTTTTCACATTTATGTGCACATTCAGTTGTAAATTGGTAAAGCTACCTCTAGGTGCCCATTTACACATGTGAGAGTTCTGTGCAAGCACGTGACATATCACTCAAATCTCAAATGTAGACCAGTTTACACCACAATCTAGACAGGCAACTGGATTGCTTCATAGGCATGATGATCAGGGGTTTGGATCAGGTTTTGCAGAGGAATGTGTTTCATTCCTGAAAGATGAAAAATTCTACCTGTTGAGCCTTGATTACACAGACAGCGGAAAGTGTCATTGACATCAACGCATACTCCTCCGTTAAAGCACGGATCCCCGCCGCAGTGAGGGACAATCCCTTGACAGAGAGTGCCGTTGAAGCCCTCCGGGCACAAGCAGAAAAAACCGGCAACTAGATCCTGACATACCCCCCCGTGGAGGCAGGGGCGGCTGGCGCACTCGTCAATGTCCACATCGCAGTTGGCACCACTGAATCCACTCTCACAGAAGCAGGTGTAGGTGGCCACACCATCGAGGCAAGCTGTGGCATGCAGGCAAGGGACCGAGGCACAGTGGTCCACGTCGACCTCGCAGTTGGGGCCGGTGTAGCCGGGTAAGCACTGGCACTGGTAGCCTGAGGGGCCGGCCAGGCAGGTACCTTGATGCTGGCAGGGTTGACTGCTGCAGGAATTGAGCAAATTTACCTGGCAATGGGCACCAGTGAAGCCATTCAGACACACGCAATAGAATCCGGTGACGCCATCCAAGCAGGTCCCACCATTTTGGCAACTGTATGTTGCAGAACATACAAAAACAAAAGTAACTTAGCCAAAGAGAACAATGCTAAATCCCACGAGAGATAACCCAATGTATACCTTGAGGTTTCACGTTTAACAGGCTTTTGTGGGGTACCTCAGGGTAAAACCTCAAGTTAGCCCTTGTTTTAGTCGCATTAATTCTTCCTGAATATAGCACGGACTTTATAGTTGCACAAATATCCCATGAATCCCTTAGAGCTGTGCAAGCGGTCCTTCACAGGCACAAATATCCGTAGAACCCTGAATTCTTTA